AACCGCAACCGCTACGACCACGACCGCCGCCCCCACCACCGCAACCACTACGACCACCGCCAATTATACGCCCACCACCACCACCACCACCACCCCTACCACAACCACCACCACCACGACCACTACGACCGCCACCACCACCACAGCCACTACGACCACCACAACCACATTGACCACCACAAACCACTACGACCACCACCACTACCACAACCACTACGACCACCACCACCACCACCACCACCACTATGACCATCACCGCCACCACAACCACTACGACAACCACCACCGACACCACCACCACCCCCACCGCAGCCACTGCGTCCGCCACCACCACCACCACTACGACCACCACCACCACCACAACTACTACAACCACCACCACTACAACCACGACCGACACGACCGCCACCGCCGCCACCACGACCGCCACCACGACCGCCACCACCACGACCACCACCAGCACCGCCACACCCGCTACGACCACGACCGCCGCGACCGCCACCACCACCCCGCCACCACCACCACGACCGCCACAGTCACCACCACCACCACCACCACCACCACAACCACTGCGACCACCACCACCACCGCGAATTGTGACTGGCTTGCCGTCACATGTCCAACGCAAGTCATCAAACACAATTTGCATCAGCAATCTGATGTGGCTTGTGTTCTTTGTGGGGAGGCGTTTGTAGGAGCAGAGAACGCCACCCCGCTGGGTGGGGCCGCGCTAAGCAAGCCATGGCTAGGCCTTACAAAGGTGCGCCTTTTCCGCCGCAGGGCTACCGCGGAAAACTGCAGTGTAGCAGTTTGCTTGAGGTCCCTTCTAAAGTGAGCTTCTCCTCAATGGACAGCATCGCCGCTTTGACTCCTCCGGCTCCCCATCTCGCGCGACTAAAAATGCATGTGGAGTCCGTTCTTTGAAGGGCATATCTACATAAGTAGGTAGATAGGTCTAGATAGGTGTAGACAGCTGGAGAGGCCAAGCTGAAGCCCTGCCTATCAAATACCTGCCGAACCGCGCCAGCCATGGAAACTCTTGAGAAACGGTTGGCACGCGCTACTCACTGAGCAGTTTGCATTCTTGATGTTGTATTTCGTGCGTGCTCAAAGTCTGCTATGAGCTGTTCAACAGTCCGGAAATGACCCAGCAGCGCGGGACTTCTTTCAGCGATTCGCGGCGCCTCGGCTTTGAAAAGCGCAACTTGTCCTTGCGATTCCCGGCTGGACTTCTTGCCGCGCACGAGCAAGCATGCGTTTCGCAGATATTGACGCGTGTGCGCGAGCTGCTTCAAGAGCACGCTTATGCAACAAGTGCCGCTCAAAGCGCGTAACTTTACGAGCCTTTGCGCAATGGGGGCATGAGCGCTTTCTACGTCAGATTGCGCGCGTGGCTGACCACTCGCGTAGCATCCAGACTGAAGTCGCACGTCAGCCGCGGCTGCGCGCAGGATGCTTTTTTTACCGAGAGCCACGGCGCTGGGCACCACGGCCAGCGAAGTTAGACACAGATAGGTGGTAAATGCTGCCATGCGCAGTTTCGCAGCCACGTCTGGTGAAGTAGATATGTAGATAGACAGATTTAGGCACGTGTAGACAGCTGGAAGTTTCAGCCGGCGCAGACGGCAACATAAAGCGCAAGGCCATATTCGTTTTTGAAGAGTCCTATGCCCCGTATCTCGGGGGACAGAAATAGCACGAACTGGGGCACGGATGTGCTTTAACCGGGTAGAAATTGCTTTCTTCGCAGGCTGCCCTGGCCCAGTGTGGCTTGCCGTCGCAGACGGCCACTGCAGGAAAGCAGCAACGCGAGTGCTTGCTCGCAAGTCATCCAAATCCTCGTCATGGACTTGCTTACCGTTTTGTGTATGTGCTGGACCGGGTAGAAATCACTGTCTTCTTGCCGTCACAGGCAGCCACTGCAGGACAGATTCTCGACCATTGGTGAATGAAAAAGCATGACAAGCCCGCAGACACGCGGGCCTGCGAGATTTTGTGGCCTGGCATTCGTTTGTTAGCATCTCTTTGGTGGCTGTTTGAGGGGAGACTGTTTGTGTATGTGTTGGTGCTGGCTTGACAAGCGGAGTAGATGTTGATTGCTGGCTACTCGCCTGGCTGCTTGGAAACATGTTTATTTCTGTTGAGGCAGCACTTCGTCGTCGTGTTGAGGGACAAGCGGTAGTTGTCGGGGAGGCTGTTTTGTTGCGATTCTGACTTGTGGGCAGTGAGCCGAAGACAGTCCGAGGGAGAATGAAGCAAGGCGTTTTGTTGATTTACTTCTGTGCCTTTTCCACAAGGTTGGGCGTCTGGCCATGCGTGTTTGTTGGGTCGGCTGGCTCGAACTGCTGGAACCGTGTGTTAGGCACTTGAGTGCAAGGCAACGCCAAACTCACGACGAATACACACAGAGCAGCTACACATGACGCATTAACTGCAAACGAAAAGCGCGCACTTAACGGGATCTAGCGAAGACAGCTGTAATACTGCGAAGGAGCTTGACGTCACCGTCGGCGAACCTAGGTAGGGCGCGCAGCCGCTTGACGTCGCAGTCGGCGAGATGGCAGACCTTGTTGCGTTCGAAGGCGATTCACTTGAGACTAGCTTGCTTGCTTGCACTTGCACGCCATCGGCTTGCCGTCACCGGCGGCCGACCAAAGTGCGCCAGCGCAGGGCCCTTGTGTTACTGCGGGCCTGCAGAGCCTTGCTCTATATATTCTTACCTGCTGAGAGACTTTGGACCACCGCCTTCGCCGGCTCTATGTTATAGTTGATACTTGCCAGAGAAAATGAGCTCGCTGCATGTACTCCTGGTGTACACACACACACCAGAGCCTTCCAGCACAGTTGAACTTTGCAGGCATCAGGCTCTTGCCAGAAACAGATCCAGGGCCATAGAGACTGCTGCCGCTGTGGGTGTCTTCTCCTGAAACAATGGTTGCCCCCACTACGGGATTCAATTGTACTAAATTGTGGTGGCAGAGTAGGTCTTGCGAAAAGAATGTTTCGGATGTCAACAGATGGAGAAAGTTTCATGAAGGCTTACACCAGCGCAGGCCGACCTGTCGACAGCACTGAAGAGACACTGAATTCATCGCTAACAGTCAGCTGGGTTACACATGCGGAAACCACTGATGACTGGACCTCTTTTGCAACCGTTGAGCCAGAGCGCCGGAGCGTCTCAAGAGAGAGCTTCTTGACAGTACTTTGCTGCGAGATCCAGCAGAAGGAGTCAACTTCTTCAAGGACACGCTGAAGATTTTCTGAAAGGCACGGCCAACGTGTACCTATATCGACTCCTCGACTTCTTCAATCACAGGAGACGCAACACAGAGTTTCTCCTTTCATTTCAGCCTGAGATCTTGCTGCGTAGTCTGAAAGCAGCATGGAATGATCTGGCGCCAGCACGGCGCAATCAGATTATCTCCAACCAGAGAAGAGCCGGGCAGCCTCAGCAACCGTCTCAGGCTGGAGCGCAGCCGTGCGCTTCAACATGTCCATGAACTGCAGCAGGCACCGTGACGCGTTTCCACTCAATGATAACCTCAGTGCACAGTTCTTTTTTATTCAACGTGAACTATCAGATCAGTCGAGAAAGACTGACCAGCGCAATGTCTTTGAAGAAGATCCCGCAAGAACATTTCACGTATGAGATGCTGAAGGCACAGCATCGCGACCTCTTCGTCACAACCAGAAGCTGTGATCCAAGATCCAACACTTCAACCACCAGGCGGCTCGCAACAGAACATCTTCTACATTCTAAAGCAAGGTGAATGCAAAGGAGAAAGATGTTTTTGGGTTGAAGACGCAGATGGAAACGAAGGCTCTCTTGGATCCAAATATGAGGAGACACGGACTGCGGAGGGTCGCAAATCCTTAGGCGCAGCCAAATCCTTAAGCACCCCCCCCTGAATTTAAGCTAATTGACACCGCACTTAAAGAGTTTGGCTGCACTTCAGGAATTGCGTCGGCGCTTAAGGGAGCCCTCAAGGCTCGACTGCCGTGGGTACGCTCAACCAAGAAAAGGAGTTCACACAGCAACTGTGATGACACAGAAGTGTTGAAAGTGCATCGCTGCCTTGTCTGGTGACAAAACATTGACAAAAACCACCGCTCAAGCCAGAGTCAGTCTGTCCATGGGTGCATCAACCAGTCAGTCGGTTGACGCAACCACATCACATGTTAATGTCCTGCAGCCGCCCCGGGAGCCCGCCAAAAAAAGCGGCCCCTTCGAAATCACACCTGCAACTCCAATGTCATCTACTCATCCAAGGCTGTCAACCCTGAAAAGACAGCCCCACCCTTAAACACGGCCCCCCCTTAAACCCATAAATTTGATAGCCATCAGGTGGCTGGAAACTGAAACCATCAGAAACAATGGGAACCACAACGTAACACCCAACTCCCTGAGAAAGGAAAGGGGGCTGGCAGACAATATCCCACAAAAGTCTGGCTTGTTGTTGTCTGCTTTCTTTTCTCACAGTTTTCCGGCTTTCGTGTTATCTAGTTGAGTTATGTTGTAGCACATGCTTCAATGGAGAAAAGATTGTTGGCATTCTCTTTCTCTCGTTGTGGTTAAATATATGTTAGTGTTCAGCTTACTTTTACATCTCATTGCGTTCTTCAGGGTTCAATGTTATGCCAAGAAGAACCCCGTCCTTTCCAGATTCTTTGCGTTCCTCTACAAACCAAAGCACTCGCCCGAATGACCCACACTTTTTGAAGATTCGTGCGCCCCTTTGTTTATCAGCACTCACTGACGAATTGCTGCAATGGAGATATGGCTGGGACATACATTGGAAACCTGACTCGTTGTCTGCAAACTGCGTCATGTAAGTGCAAGTGTTGAATCAGTGTTGAATGTACGCAGGGCGCCGCCTCGCTAAGCCACAGGCGTTTGCCCAAAGGAGGTCCGTCCCAACTGGAATGTGTTTACAGGGCCTGCGCGCGTCAACCTGCTCGGTCCGAGCCAAGTGGGGAAACATAGGCTGCTTCCGAGCCACGAATGGCGGAGGCCTTCCGCATGGCTGCCAGGTCCTGGGCGTCGCACATCCAGGCCTCGGTGACCGAACCCAAAGCGCAATCAAATTCAAACTGCGCGCCCAAACATGTTTTGTGTTTTCCCGCCGGCCTCTGCCTGGGGTGCGACTGAGCCCAGTTCTGCCCCGGCTCCGTCCCAGAGCGCTGAGGGTGTTAAAAACTCCCACCCTCCAGGTTAATCTCTGGTCTTGGAGCGCTTCCAGAGATTGGTCGCAGCCACGGTTCTAAACTCTTGACTGCTATTGGTTTCTTGTTCCATGGGCGCCGTGCAGCAAAATTGGTGGGACACGTTTGCGCACGCAACCTTCCGTACAAGGAAACCATTGGCCGCTTTTGCTCGGTTGTGGCTACCTATAGGTTGCTTTGGCTTCGGGTTGACTCGACCTTCCTTTGTTGGTTCTGGGATGCAGTAGGCGGCCTGCTCGGACAGAGCCGGCGCTAAAGTCCCGTAAAACAACGGCTGCCTGGTCTACTTCCTTTGCTTAACTCGACTTGCGCTGGCCAGGGGCACGTCCCCAAATTCGTTTTTGCCAGAAGTTCCGTGCAAAAAACAAAAAGGCTGATAGGATCGCGGCAGCAGAACTACAGGGGCACGTCCACGACATGTTAAGTTTGTTACGCCCCTGATTTGGTTTGCTCGCCGAAATCACCTTCTCCCCATTCTCGACCCTTTGTTCCCGAACGCTGACACTGCTCCAACTCTTCCGAAACCAGGGAAGATGGTGTCGGGCACATTGCGGTCGACTTCCTGGCTATTCTGATCGGGTTGTTCCTTGATGTCCCTCATCGCCTCTCTTTGCTTGCGACACAGATCTCGCACCTGGATGGCGTCTCCGAGGACAAATTCTTTGGGCTTGTTAGGGCCCCGATTTGTTTTGCCAGGTTTCCTGTTGTGTTTTGGGATCTCCCTTGGTTCTGAAAAGGTTTGGCTCGTTTTGCACCAGCATCTTCTTCAACATCCTCAGCATCACGAGTTGGATTTGTTAGGCTGGGCTTAGGCTTGTTTAGGGCAAGTTTCAAAATGGCTGCGCTTCAGCTCGGATGGTTTAGCGCGTCTATGGCGGGCTTCGAACTGCAATGGATCCACCGCCCACCCAAACCCACGTTTGGGCCCCAAAAACCACCTTAAACCAACCTTTAGCCCACCCTAAACCGCCACTAAAAGTAGAATCAACCTCAAAACCAAACCTAAGCAAGCCCTACAAAAACAACATACCCTAAACCAACCCTAAAACCCAACCACCCTAGCAAATCCCGACACCATAACCCCGCCCAAACCAACCCTAAGCCTTGACTAAACAAGCACAAAACCATCACCTCCAACCTAACCCCCGCCCGAAAGCCAAAACCCAAACCAACCCCCCCCCCCCCGGCCCCGAAAAAAAAAGACCACGGTTGGCCCGCAAGCATCACAGCCCGTGATCATTCCCGCGCAAGCTTTTTGCTCGATGTGCAATCTGTCAGCTACAAACAGCCATCAGCTACAGCAAGAGGAGCACTTCACTTCCGCATGTTGCTCGCGACCTCCGGCTTCGCGGCGAGCAGGCCCCAGACCATGTCCTTCTCTTCCGTGAGCGAGACAGTCCGAGCCCGAGTGTCAAGCGCTCGAGCCATCCAGAAATGGAGATGCACCGCGTGCAATGTAAATGATTGTGCTTGCAAGGCGCTCTACAGAGACAGAGACAGAGACAGAGACACAGACAGAGACAGACAGAAAGACAGACAGACAGACAAAAAGACCGACGGAGAGACAGCGCATGCTTAGCGTCGAGCAGGCTCCAGACCATGTCCTTCTCTTTCATGAAAGTCCGAGCCACGCTCGAGCCACCCATTCCACATCACAGTCCTGCAGCACGCGGCCGGCCAACACGCGAACCGCCATCCGCCACGCTGAAGAGGTGGCAGCTCTTGAAGTGGCAGAACGCCTCCACCGCGAAAGGCCTGGCATTCTCAATGGCTGGACAAGGAAACACCTCTTGGTGGCAAAGCGACGAGGCGCTTTTTTTCTTGGATGTCCACCTCGTTGGTGTCTGCGCGTAGGCGAGCATTGCAACGTAGGAGGCGAACACACTGCCACGTTGAAAGAAAGCGCCCAGGTCAGAGCAGGTGATGTCCTTGCACAGGTCGCGCGCTGGCAGCACAGCGCCTTCTGGGCGCTGCTCGTCGACACCTTCTTGACCATTGGTCGGCTCGAGTCATTGCAGTCAACGCCCAAGGCAGGCCTGGCTGCGAGGACTTGGGGCTGCGTAGCCTGCGCGGGCAAGCCTGGCTCCTGCTGGGTCGCAGTCAGAGCCTGCGTTGCGTCGACTGGAGTGCCGTCGCCGATGGCTCTCCGACCTGTCGCGCTCGCCGTCCTTGAGTCATGTGAGGGGCCGTAGCAAGTCTAACATCAAAGGGACCTTTGAAGCAGAGCGCCTGCATGCCCTACGATGGGCACGGGCTGTTGGTGCGATGGGTACGGTCTGCGGGGGGTACACTGCTTGTGCGATGGGTGCGTTCTGCTGGCACGACGAGTCTGCTGCTGCGAAGGCACGGTCTGGTGGTGCAATAGGCGCATGGCGCTGCTAGTGCTCGGTCTGCTGGTGCGATGAGTGCGCTGTCTGTCGGTGTGATGGGTACGGATTGGTGCACGGTGCGACAGGTGCGGTCTGCCGGTTCTGATGGGTGTGGTTTGCTGGCGCGAAGGGTACGGTCTGCTGATAGGTAGGGTTTGCTGGTGCGAGGGTGGTGCGATGGGTACGGTCTGCCGGCGTATGGGTGCGGACTGCTGTTGTGTTGGTCTGCTTTGATGTGGTCTGACCTCATACAGGATTGCCCAGTGTTTTTGGCCAAAGTATTCGGAGGGGGTGGAGGAGAGGGCTTGGGGTGGGGGCGAGTTCTTTTAAAGCGTTCCAGGAAAGCACAGCTGGGACGGAACTTTAGAGAGCACCACCAATTTTCAAAAAACCCCAACAAATGTCCAAGACCAAATTCCAAGAAAACATCACCAAATTCGAGCTAGCCTGGGACCGTGCCGTTCCTGTCAACAACACACCTCCAATTTCAAGCAAAACACCACCAATTTCAAGGAAAACACTCCGAGTTCGAGGAAAACATCTACAAATTCCTGGGTAATGCCACTAATTTCCAGGAAAACACCGCCACTTTCAAGTTAGCGTAGCTTGTTGCCGAGAAAAAACACGCATTTTCAGGAAAGCGCCACACTTTTCCAGGACAGCGCGACCAGTTTCCATGTCCGGGCTGGACACCATGACGAAGTCGTCCAGTCCCATCTCGCGGGCTGCCACGACGGCCAGGCAGCTTGCCAGACAAGTTGTCCCCTTGCCGCTGTCTTTGTAGAAGAAGAAAACACCACACATTTCCAGAAAGCTTCGCGCCCTGGGACCGTACCTTCATTTTATCGAAAGAACACAAAAACACGTCCACAACAATTTTCCAATTTTCAGGTCAACACCACCAATTTCATGGAAAACACAAATCTTTTTTCGTGATCAGACTCTGGGAAAGCACCAGAAACCAAGAAAACGGGACCGTACCCTGCAATTTCCAGAAAACAAGATCAATTTCCGGGAAAACGCCGCAAATTTTCAGTAAAACAACCAATTACAGAGGTGGACCGTACGCTTGTTTCGAGAAAAAACAAAACCAATTTCCAGGAAAACAACACCAACTTTCAGGACAACATTATCAATTTCCAGGAAAACACAGCCAATTTCGAAGTACACGCTGGGACCGTTAGGTTTTTACAAGTATGTTTGCAGGTCACTCTTTGCAGCCGACCGATGACCCCAGTTGGACCATTGTCCCTCTTACCATTGCTCAGGCCCTTCTCAAATATCGCTTGGGCACTGGCCAACGCTTACCGTGTCGTTTTCGGCAGATTACCACACACAATGTAGGAGGCTGGAGCACCGTCACGCGTAACCACAAGTGGCTCTTCTCTGCCCTGCAGAGAGGCCCAGTTTTCCTTCAAGAAACTAGATGGACACAGGTGCAGCATCACGCGGTCATGCAGTCCTTTTCCGGGGTTCTCTGTGCTCATGTGCCCGCCATCCCCTCGAATCGGGTGGTGCGGCAGTGATTTTCCCTACAGGATGGAAGCTTCTGCACGAAGAACCAATTTTGCCTGGCCGAATTATCGGGTGCCACGTGCAGCTTCGTGGGCATCCGGTCTACCTTGTTAGCAGTTATTTCCACCCCGACGAATTGGACAGGTGCTGCAGTGCACTAAAACGCCATCTCCTGCAGCGTGACATTCAGAAGGCCGTCATCGTTCGTGGGGGCTTCAATGGTGCTGCCAGCAAAATTCCGGCTGCCTCGAACCAGCTCCTAGATGAGGTTGGCTTGGAGGTCTTCCTCCCGAAGGAAGCTACTTATGTGTCAGGTCCAACAGCCAGCACCCTAGATGAATTTTCTGGTTTCCGACAGCTTCATTCAACAGCAGGGGGCTCGCTACACGGCATCACGACCGAACACAGGGTCATGCTGCGGTCTCGGCTTTCTTCCGCTATCCTGCCTAAGTCAGTAGTACTAAAGCCTTCCCGGTCCATCAGGTCATCCCTACCTCTGCTATCCTTCCTGCGGGAGGACAAGTTATGCACTTCCAAGCGAGGCAAGAGTTGGACATTTTGGTTCGGCAACGCGCCTCGGACACCGCCGGCTTCTTAGCCATGCAGAGTGCTGTCTGGGCCTGGTGGCGCAATCAGCCCGTACCTGTGCAATGTCTACCCAGCATTCCATTTTGCCGATTCCTTGCGGTTGTGTTGCCTTGGCACTTTTGCTTGGCATGTGTTTCTATTTACGTGTGGGCACTGCTCTTTTTGCGCATGTGCTATTGGGCTTCAACTTTGGAGCCGAAGCATCACGGACATGTGTTTTTATGACGGGCGCCCTGCCCTCTGGTTGGAGTAGCCGCGCTGTGTCTTTTTGTGTGGGCACCTTGCCCTTTCACTTTGGTCTACTTGAAGGTGCTCGCAGCGTTACCTTCTTGATTTGCCTTCGGGCCAACTTGTGTTATT